GCCCCCAATGTGATATTAAACTACTTTGGCGGAAGCAATATTGATGACAAGAGAGGTGAACACCTTGCTGTTTTCTCTCTTGGACAGACCATGCCTGAAGTATATGGTGGGTTGTGAGCCCAACGGCTTAGGTTGACAATCCAGAGAACCTCCAGAGGAGGACCACCAAGATGAAGAAAGGCCTAAAGTCGCTGCCATATTAGGATTGGCTGAAGGAACTAGGGATGCTTAGCCTGGAGAAGAGAAGGCTGGGGCGAGATGATCACTTTCTTCAATATCTGACGGCCGTCACATAGAAAAGGGATCAGATGTACTCTGCTTGACTCTATGGACCAGAAATAGGAGCAATGGATGGCCGCCATAGAGGTCAGTTTCAGCTTCAGTAAGGAAAAGCTTCTTAGCCACCGGAGATCCAAAACAAAACAGACTGCCTTGGCAGGCAGTGGTTTCCCTGTCGCTGGAAGGCTTCAGGTCAAGGCTGGACGGCCCTGTGTTGAGAACAGTGTAGGGATCATTGTTCTGATGTTGGTTGATGAAAGTTCTGGCTAATCATGGGAGTCTATGCTTTAGGTTAGCAGAGGGGGAAAGGAAAAAGTACACAAGAGAGTTGAAGGAAGGAGCCAGGTAAGGGAGCTACATTTAGGGAAACTGAGACAATGCAAGGAGACAATGGCGAGAGGGATGCAGGCATTATTCAGAAAGAAAGAGATATGGCTACAAAGTTAGAAGTGACCCCATCAGGAACTAAGGAAATGCACAGAAGAGAGAATTGGGAACATATGGCCCCTCATGCCTTGGTGGCCATGTCATCCTGGAACTTCCTTCAGACCTAGAACCTTCTCACCCTGTATATCTCCCCACCATGCCAGCTTTCCACTGGTGAATTTCTCCTGGGGCTTCAATTTGGGGGAGAGGCCCAGCCAGACCAGCCATCTTTCATTCCCCTCCCTGGATCTGGTTCTGACTCTCTGAACTTTGACACCATTCTCCACCCTCCATATTGTCTTTCCCCATTGATAATAATAATAATAGCTAATTATATATAGTACTTATTATGTACCAGTCTGTGGCATATAGACTGTGCTAAGTGCTTTACAATTATTGTCTCATTAGGTCCTACTGAGGACCCTGGGAGTTAGGCACCATTATTATCCCCATTTGATAGATAAGGAAACTAAGGCAAATGGAGGTTAAGCGGCTTGCCCAAGGTCACAAAGCTAGCAAGTGTCTGAGGTCACATTTGAACTCAAGTCCTCCTGACTCCAGGCCCAGCACTTTGTGCATTATGGCACTGCCATTGGATTGTAAGCTCCTTGAGGGCAAAGACCCTCTTTCTTTTTGCTTGGATTTATATCCCTAGCATCTGGTAAGTGCCTAAATAATGTTTGTTGCCTGCCTCCCACGGCACAGAAGCAGAAAAATGGTCATAATTTGGGGTGGCATCATTAAAAGAAGATGATGGAGGTAGGGGTGCTATTTAAGGAAAGGCAGAAAAGAGACAGGTCACAGTCTAGGCAGCTGGATGGACAGTGTGGTATAGAGGAAAGGGCATGAGATTTAGAGTCAGAGGACATGGGTTCAAATCCTAGCTCAGCCACCCTCCCTGTGTGACCTTGGGTAAGTCACTTAACCTCTCTGAGCCTCAGTTTCCTTATTTGTTAAATGAGGAGGTTGGATTTAATGACTTTTAAAGGTAGGTTGCTCCAAGATGTATATCTATAAGTCAGATGAACTGGGTTTGAATCTCAGTGGTTCTGAAAAATACTACCACTTCACTTAAACTCTCTCTGCCTCAGTTTCCTCATTTGAAAAATGAGGGAATTAGATTTACAATATATCTCTTAAGGCAGCCAGGTGTCCCCGTCAGTGGACAGAGATCTGGAACTGGAGTCAAGAAGACCTGAGTTCAAATTCAGTCTCATACATTTACTAGCTATATATCATGAGCGTATTCTTTAACCTCTCTCTGCCTTAGTTTCTTTGATTGCAAAATGGTGATAATAATAATTATTCCCAGTGTTATCGTGAGGGTAAAATGAGATAATATTTGTAAAGCCCTTTCCAAATCCTTATGTCCTTAAATACCACCTTATTAAGCACCTCCTTCTTTAAAAGTCTTGTTAGGGAATTTAAAACCTGAGGTCCACAGACCCCTGTGGACATATTTCAATGTGTCTATGAACTTGGATGGTGAAAAAAATTCCGTCTTTATTTTCACTAAGCTCTAACTGAAATGCAGCATTTTCTTCAATTATTTAAAAGCATGATCCTATTGGGGTTCTATAGGCTCCCCCAGATTGCCAAAGGGATCCAGACACACACAAAAAATGTAAAGAACCTCTGTATCAGAGGTCGGTGCAGCACAGTCCATCAGATAGGCAACTAGAATCAGGAAGACCAGGTTCAAATCTCACCTCAGGTACCTCCTAGCTGTGTGACCATGGGCAAGTCAGCTGCCCTCTCTGAGTTCCACATTCCTCATCCATCAGATAGGGCTAAGGATACCAGTACATAGTATCTACTTCACAGGATTGTTACCAAGCTCCAATAGCATAATATAAGAAAAGCACTCTACTAACATCCAAAGCACTATTACATGGCTACCAATTATATTTTCTCTTCCTGACATCACTGCCTCTTCAGTCTGGTCTCCTCACTTGCCATAGGGGTAAAGAACCTTTAGGCTGTAGGTTGAAGGGTCCCAGGGTCATCTCCATGGATCAAAATAAAAATGAGATTGTATTTATAAAGCACTTTGTAACTCCTCAAATGCTATATAAATGTTTCTTTGTTTGTTTTTTTTATTCAGTCATTTCAGTCACACCTGACTCTACGTGACTCCATTTGGGGTTTTCTTGGCAGAGTTACTGGAGAAGTTTTCCATTTCTTCTCCAGCCCATTTTATAGAGTAGGAAACTGAGGCAGCCAGGGTTAAGTGGCTTGCCAAGGGTCACATAGCTAGTATGCGTCTGAGGCCGGATTTGAACTCATGAAGATGAGTCTTCCTGACCCCAGGCCTGGCACTCTATGCACTATGGCAACCCCTAGCTGCCCCTCTGGATTCAGAGGAGCCAGGTTCAAATTATGCTTCTGAACACTGACTTCGGGCAAATCGTTTTTGGGCCTCAGTTTCCTCATTTATGAAAAGAAGTGGTTGGACTAGATGGGATTCTCCTATCCACATTCCTTTACTCACAGGGCATTGGGAGCCTCAGTCAAGATAACATACTTACAGTGCATACTCTTTAAAGTGCTCCACAAATTTCTATTATTATGATTATTATTATTATTATGATTATTATTATTATTGCTGTTATCAGACTAGGTAACAAAGAGAGATAAAATGAAGTATCCTGGCACAGTGCATAGACTACATTACTTAGAGCCAGGAAGACTGGGATTCCAATCCTGCTTCCAAAGTTTATCAGCTCTGTGACCCTCCGTGAGGCTGCTTCCTCACCTATAAAATAGGGATATTAATACCCATAGTAGCCACCTACCAAGAGTTACTTTAAAACCCAAATGAGAGCACTTGTAGAGGGCTTTCAAATCTTAGAGTTCTATGTAAATTTCAGTAATTATTAGACATTATTTATTACAATAATAAGATATATATTAGCAACTATGGTAGCATAGTAATAACAGGAAGATGGATTCAAACATTTTAGAAAAGTTTTCCCAAGGGCTAGAAACCAGGACTCTCCCCCCCCAAAAAAAAAATATATATATATACATACACATACACACATACACACACATATACATACACACACATACACACACATACACACACACACACACATGCACATATATATTTGACAAGATGTGTCACAATGGGCAGAGTGCTGTACGTGGAGTCAGAAACACTTGAATTCAAATCCTACCATTACCACTCCCCAGCTCTGTGACCCTGGGCAAGTCACTTAATTTTTTCCAGCCTCAGTTTCCTTATATGTAAAATGGGGATTATAATAGTACTTACCTCCCAGGTTTGTTGTGAGAACCAGATGAGGTAATCTACAGTAAGTGCTCACATAACTTAAAGGAATATTTAAATACTAGCTATTATTCCTATTTCAAATAATTAGAACCAAAATTTAACATTCCATAGTGCCTAAAATGTATAAGGTACCTTACAATCATTTTATTTAAGCTTTACTTCGTAAGTATTATTATCTCCATTTTACAGATGAAGTAACTCAGATTCAGAGAGCTGAAGTGACCTATAGGATCAGGGATTTAAAGTTTGAAGAGAGCTTAGAGGTCATCTGTTCCAGGCCTCATATTTTACAGATGAGGAAACTGGGCTCAAGGATGTTAAGTGACTTGCTTAAGGTAATACAGGTAGGACAGAAGTAACTGAGACAGGATTCGAACCTGGGTCCCCAGACTCTAACCCCAGCTCTCTTTCCACTGTATTACAATGTTCTAGCCCCGTGGTTACACAGTTAATAAGTTTCTGAAGTGGGATTTAAGTACAGCGTCCTGCCCATTAGGTCACACTGCATTCTTTTGATGAACTCTCGTTTTACTGGAAAAAATGAGCTCAACCAGGAGCTTTCGTTTATGCAATGTCTCATGCACACAGCTTATGACATGGGCAGCTGGAGTGGAATGGGCGTGCCATTCTTGGATGTCAGTAGATAGGCTGGGGGTGGAGGGTGGTCCAAACCCACCTCATCACAAGCCAGAGTCCACCCAGGCCAACTCCGACAGCAAGAGGCAGCGTCAGGTCAGCGGACAGCCAGCCTGGGAAAGCTGAGTTTCACAGGCTATAAAACTCCCATTCGCCCTTCCCATCCCCCCCCAACTCCCTTTACTGCTTGTCTTTGGAAAACACTCTCTGATATTAACCAGAGAGAAGAACCAGACCAATAAAATGGGCAGCCCTAACACTGAGTGTCCGAGGTGTTACGTTACTGACATTCCAACCCAGTGATGTCAGCTCCCTCCCCCATTACCCTCCCAACGGGCCCAGCAGCAAAGGATGCCACAGGAAGTGTCCCCACAGGCCCCTCCTTCCTTGTCCCAAGGCATCCCTTCCAGTCAGGTTCATTCCTGGCCATTACTCTGTCCCCTTACCCTTTGATTCCTTTCAGATGGGTGAATTATTATATGAACGGATCCAATTTCAAAGCCCTTTTTGGCCTAGCAGACTCAGCCTCTCGTCCCTCGGGTTTGGAGTCAGGATGCCGCTTGGATCCCCCGTTCTCTACCTTGACCATCCATCACCATGATGGCACCTTCTTTCCCAAAGACCTTGGAGGGTTCAAACAGAAAGTTCATGAAGACCCTTGGAGAGTGAGAAGAGAGGAAAGCAATGAGATCACTGAGGAAGGAAGGTAGGTTCATAGACTTTAGGCGTAATCTAGGCCAAACCCCTCATTTTACAAATGCTCAGAGAGCTTAAGTGCTTTGCCCATGGTCACACAGATAGCAAGCTATGGAAACAGGATTGGAGCCCCAGTCTTCCTGGCTCTCACTCAAGTATGATACCCCCTATGCCAAGATGCTTCATTTAATCTTTCTTTGCTAATAAAGGATAATGATGCTGATGGTAGTGGTGGTGGTGGTGATGATGATGATGGTAACTTATATTTGTAGAATGCTATGACGTTTGCAAAGAATTTTAGAAATATTATCATGTTTGAGGTTCCTAAGAGCCCTACGGCCAGCTAGGTAGCACCATAAGCACACTGGGCTTAAAATCAGGAAGACTCATCTTCCTGGGTTCAAATCTAGCTTCAAACACTTACTAACTGTGTGACCCTGGGTAAGTCCCTTAACACTGTTCATCTCAGTGTCCTTCATTGTAAAATGAGCTAGAGAAGGAAATGACAAACCACTCAAGTATCTTTGCCCAGAAAACCCCAAATGGAGTCATGGAGAGTTGGACACAACTGAACAGCAGCGAACAATGAGTCCTATGGGTTAGGGACTGCAGATACTATAACCCACTTATTGCAGATGAGAAGACAGAGGCTCTCACACAGTTACCTTCATAGATCACCATCAGTGTTCATTGGCCCGGGACCTGAGACAGCCTGGGTTAGAAAAGTGGGCTGGGTGAGGACTGACCAGAGGCTCATGGGAGCTCAAGAGCAGGACCTCAAAGGCCATCTAGCCCAACCCCTTCACTTTACAGAGGAGGAAACTGAGGCCCAGATAGGTCAAACAGAGAGTGTCAGAGATGATAACTGAACTGAGATCTTCTGATTCCACATCTAACTCTCTTTACAGTATATCTTTTGGTCTCTATTGCTCATTCTAGGTACTCGGTCTGTTTCAAGGAAACTGATTCTTCCGCCATCCCAATGACATAGATTAAAATAAGAACCACCCACAGCCTTATATTTAGGAGCTACAGAGTTCAGCTGGTTGGCTAACCTGGCCAGAGTGCACGCCCTAAGGGAGCTTCCGAAGCTCCATCAGAATTCTATCCACTTCACAAATGAGGCAAGGAGCACAGGCTGCTTTGTCCAAGGTCAGTGTCAAGATCGCGTTTCATGAAAACCATCAAACATGGTGCACTCTATCCCCATGGCCATCTGGGGGAAGATACAGCACCACCAATGTCTTGGGTCTATTAGGTGCATCATAAAATAGTTAGGTCTTCTTGTCTTAGAAATTCATGAGAAATAAATTCCTAGCCCTTGTCATGCCTGGCTTCAATATAGATTCTACCTTCCCCAAGATTGTTTCAGAGAAGAAATGAGAGGGTAAGGACCACTCAGTAGAGTGAACCCCCATTCCACAGATTACCGTCATATTTTAACATCTTTGTTGCACTGACCAGTGGCAACGAGGATGAAAGGCAGCATCTAGAGGCAGGAAGCCCTGAGTTCAAATCCTGTTTACCATCCATCTGACTGGGCAAGTCACTTAATTGCTGCTAGCCTCTAATTTGTTTTTGTTCAGTCGTTGCAGTCGTGTTTGACTCTCCATGACCACATTTGGGGTTCTCTTGGCAAAGATACTAGAGCAGTTTGCCATTTCCTTCTTCAGCAGAAACTAAGGCAAAAAGGGTTAAGTGACTTGCCCAGGGTCAAACAGCTAGTAAGTGTCTGAGGCCAGATTCAAATTCATGAAGATGAGTCTCCCTGACTTCAGGTCCAATGCTCTATCCACTGTGCCACCTAGATACTCAGCCTCTAATTTACTCATCAGTAAAATGGGAACAATAATAGTACCTACCTCCCAAGCTTGTGATAAGAGTCAATTTTAAATGCTATGTAAATGTTAGCTATAATTATCATTGCTTGGTTTTGTAATTAATTCATAGTATACAGAACAGGAAAAGAAATGAGTTCATCTAATTTTATCTCCCTTCTTTTCCAGATGATGAAGCTGAGGTCCATGGGTTTTCCCTGTGGTTCTGATTCTTCTTTACAACATGACTAATGTGGAAATATGTTTAATATGATTGTACATGTAGAACCTATATCAGATTGCCTGCCACCTTGGGGAGAGAAAATTCAGAACTCAAAATCTTATAGAAGCGAATGTTGAAAACTAAAAACAAATAAATAAATAAAATTTTAAAATTAAAAAATAAATAAAAGGAGCATCAAATATATATATACATATATGTATATATATGTATATATGTGTATATATGTATATACGTGTATATATGTGTATGTGTGTGTATATATATATACATATATATGTATATATATATATATATAAAACTACTTATTTAAAAAAGAAAGAAAAAATAAAAAAAGAAAGAAAGAAACAGAGGTCAATAGAGGGGAAATCACCTGCCCAAAATCACACACTATTAAGTAGCAAAATTGAGATTCCGCTCCAAGTTCTTTGACCACAAAGCCAGTGATTTTTACCATCATCAGAGGATAGGCATGGAGAGAATGCTAGATTTGGAATTAGGAAGACCTGTGTTCAAATCCTGAATTTGACATTAACTGTGTTGGAGAAATTGGGAATTGACAAGCCTTGGATTTGAGGTCCACCTTGGACACACTCTGCCCAAGAAAGTATGTGAACATCTCTCAGTCTCAGTTTGCTCATCCCCAAAATGTGAATATTAATAGTATCTACTGGGCAGCTAGGTGAGGCAGTGGATAGAGCTCTGGTCGTAGAGTCAGGAGGACTTGAGTTCAAATGTGGCCTCAGACACTTGACACTTAACACTTACTAGCTGTGTGACCTTGGGCAAGGCACTTAACCCTGATTGCCTCACCCAAAAAAAAAAAATAGTACCTACTTCACAAAGTGAGAATTATATAAGATGATGTGGGCAAAGGACTTAGCAAGACTTAAAGAGACAGTTTGCCTTGGACCATTAGAGAAGAGAGACATAGATTTAGAAATGGAAGGGAACTTAGAGGTCATCTGATTCAGCACTCTCCTTTTACAGATGGGGAAACTGAGGCCCAGGGGAATTATATGTCTCAGACAAAGACCCATTATGGTTATTGTGTCAGCATGGGAAAGTCAGGCAAATGCCTCTGAGCCTCCGAGCCTCCGGCATTAAGTTGTGGATGGTTGTAGTTGGAATGCCCACAGGCCTCTGGCCACCGACCACCACTTAGCCTTCCCTTCTCCCTCCTATTTGCTTTTAAACTTTTTGAGAGAAAGGGCTGTGAGGGGTCATGTCCCCCTGCCACCAACTTAGTAACTGCTGAAAGAGGCTGGACTCTTTGCATGACGCGAAAGGATGGTTTCTGTGTTTGGAGATTAAAGATTCTCTTTATTGCCTAAATATCTGAGCAGTCTGAATTCTAAGACCAGCTCCAACTTTTTCCAGTTCTAAGGCCCCTCCCAGCTCTGACATCCCCTGTTCTAAGGCCCCTCCCAGCTTTCCCCCTGTGCAGGCAGAACCTCCAGGCCCTCAGGTTGAAGACCCTCTGCCGGCCTGGCCTCAGTGGCACCTCCAGCCCGGAGATCTTTTTATCTGTGACATCATCTCCTTTCAGGCAGAGCCTCAAGCACCCACTCAACGGATGGCTTGGGGGTAGATGGAAGGAGAAGGCCATGTATTCTTCGGCCCTCAGAAGAACACCTCACAGTAAATCCCAGCTTGTCTTGGAGGAGAAGGCAGAGAGGTTTCACCTAAGCTGTTCTCTGCCTTGATCGTCACCCTCCCAGCGGCAGCTGCCGGAGCCGATGGGAGGGTCCACAGATGGGGAATGGGGGCAGCAGCGGACATAGGTGTGTCTTTGTTTATTTTGACAAGCCTGTCCTCTGCTCCCCAGTACTATACACACACACACACACACACACACACACACACACACACACACACACACACACCGCCCACCACCCACTGTCCACTTTGATCCAGGAAGGGCAATACCTGAGGTAGGTCTGGCTTTTATGGGCAAGCAGCAAGGTCTAGATTAAGGGAATTAGCCGCAGTATATCACCACCAATAAAATGGGGTCTGCCCCACCACAGCGCTGCCTCAGGACATGGGGGCTGGGAGGCATAGGAGGGGGAAGGAGAAGAGGCGTTATGGGGGGAGCGGGAGGAAGACCTGCCCCGAGCTGGACCAAAAGGGTAATCAAAAGAATCCGCTGCTCCCAAAGTCAAAGGGGAGCCTATAAAGAAAACTCTGTAAGTTGGCCCTCCCCTTCTTTTTAGAATCTCATCTCCTGCACGTGATGGATTCTTGAGGGGCTATTTGTACTCTTCTCTCCCTGGCTCCCTGCCTGCCTCCCTCCCTGCTTTCCTCTCTGCATCCCTCTCTCCCTGCTTCCCTCCCTCACTGTCTGCTTCCTTCTTTGCTTCCCTCCTTCCATGCCTCCCTCTCTGTCTGGGCTGCCACCCCCTTCTCCTCCTTTTCTAATTCTAAGTATCTGAAGGCCAAAACGGAAATTTGTTTTGTCTTAGAAGTAAAGTTTCTAGAACAGAAACAAAAAGGAAAGGAATGAGGGACAGAGACAGAGAAACAGAAACACAGAGAGGCAGGCAAAGGGAGGCAGAGGCAGAGGCAGGCTGTGCAGGGAAATAGAGAAAGCAGTGGGGAGATAGGGTCATAGAACCTGGGTTCCGATTCCACTTAAAATTGGTCAAATCACAGAAACTCTTCTGGTTTGTTTCCTCATCTGTAAAATCAAGGGCCTTGGCTAGATGGGCTATGGTTCCTTCCGGTTCTCCATCTATGAGTGTGTGACTCCAAATCCTGGCCTCTTTCCACGCTTCCTCCAATGCCTTGTATCATCAGTCAGTCATTCAACAACTAATCCAAGACTGTGCTAAGGCAAAGCATGATCCCTGCCTTTAAGGAGCTCTGGTTCTAAGGTGGGAGACAACACACAGCTCAATCCATACAACTACATGCAGAGTAGAGAAAGGTAATCTGAAAGGGGGATTTGTCAATTCGATAAGCATCTATTACATTGTTGTTCAGTTGTTTCAGTCACGTCCGACTCCTCGTGAACCCATTTGGCATTTTCTTGGCAAAGATTCTGGAGTGGTTTGCCATTTCCTTCTCCAATTCATTTATAGATGAGGAAACTGAGGCACATAGGTTTAAGTGACTTTCCCAGGGCCACACAGCTAGGAAGTGTCCGAGGCCACATTTGAACTCAGGTCTTCTTAACTCCACTCTATCCCCTGTGCCACCTAGTGCTAGACATTAAAGATATAAAGACAAAACTGAAACTGTCCTGCCCTCATGGATATTACAATCTATTCTTCTGGTCCTGCCATTAAGTGGCAGAACCAGGATTGACGCAATGTCCTCTGATTCTGAAACCAGTGAAACACATTGTCTCAAAAGTCGAAAGGGGTAGGTTAAAATCCTGGCTCTGGTTCTTAATAGAATAACTGAAGACAGAACAGATCACAGGACCTGGAGTAAGGAAGACGATTCAACTCTGACCTCAGATACTTTCTGATTGTGTGAACCTGGGCAAGTCACATAACTGCCATCTGCCTCAGTTTCCTCATTTGTAAAATCCCAAGTTGCTGTGAAGATCAAATGAGATAATATTTTTCATGGGCTTTGCAAGCCTTAAAGCCCTAGATAAATGCTAGCTATTTATAGCTATGTGATCTTGTCCTCTCCGGGACTTTAAGATTTCTAAGGCCCCTTCCAGCTCCAATAATACAGGAAGTCAGATTTTTATCTCTCTTTTTAAAAAAAATTATTTATCTCTTTAAAAATTATTATCTCTTGAAGGTTTAGCAAAGTCCTTTCATCACAGCAGCAACCCTGTGAGAAAAATACCATTATACCTATTTTAAAGAAGAGGAAACTGAGGCTGAGAGGCTGTGACCTGCTCAAAATCACACAAATACAATTTGAACTCAGGTCCCTCCAAGATCAGTACCCTTTCCATACTGAATCTCTAGATCTTGTAGAATCCTAGTACCTAATTGTAACAATAGCTAATGTTTCGATGGTGCTTGAAGATTTCAACAACCTTACAAATATTATCTCATTTTATCCTCACAACACTCCTGAGAAGCAGGTGATATTATTACCCCCATTTTACCGATGAGGATAATGAGGATGACAAAGGTTAAGTGACTTGCCCAAGGTCACAATCTAGCAGTTGTCTGAGGGTGGATTTTAATTCAGGTCTTCTTGACTCCACTGTGACACATAGCTGCCAGTGTTTATGAATATAGAGCTAAATGGATTTGAGAGGTCAGCTAATTCAATCTCCTCATTTTACAAATGAGGAAACTAAGACAAATAGGGGTTAAGTGACTTGACCAGCATCACACGAGTAGTTGGGGGAGGAAAGGGAAAAGGCATTTATTAAGCACTTGGTCTGAGCCAGGCAGGAAGCATCCTCTGAATATGGAGCTACAGCTCCTTCTACTCTGTCACAGAGAAAAGATAAGAAATTCCATTCCACTGAAGAAGCTTAAGGATAGGACAGTTATCTAGCAGATGGGAAGTGTCTGGGTATAGCCTCACTTGGAGAAAGAGACTAACTTCTGAAACTGCCTTCCACGAGGTCTGCTAGGTACTGAGTACCAAACTCCCCACTTCTACCCCTTGTCTTTGGACATCAACCTCATTTTATTTATTCATTCATTCATCAGAGGCAATGGGGGTTAAGTGACTTGCCCAGGGTCATACAGCTAGTAAGTGTCTGAGGCCAAATTTGAACACAGTTCCTCCTGCCTCCAGAGCCAGTATTCTATCTACCACACCACCTAGCTGCCCATTCACGAGTCGGGGTTAAGTGACTTGCCCAGAGTCACGCAGCTAGTAAGTGCCAAGTATCTGAGGCTAGATTTGAACCCAGGTCTTCCTGAATCCCCAGTTCAACAAGATCCATTACTCCCACATACCTTCTCCACCTAGCACACGGTGAGCACTTTAGATTAAACTGAATAGTAATTATAGATGTTTGAAAGGGGTCTCCTACTTAGGTCAGGTTGTAGGAGATGTCCTCTGAACTCCCTCCCAACTTAGCATCTGGGATTTGGGGATACTGTAGCCAGCTAGTTAGCCATG